TGAAGGGGAAATGCTCCATTCCTTAACCTCCTTCTAATGAGTTTCCTGAGAGGAAAGACAACCGGAGGAAAAGCTTTGTCATCAGAACCTTGTAGTTTAGTGGATGTTGGTTTTCTGTGGATGCGGTGGAATGGGTTGGGTCTGAAAGATGTGCTTGAAGGTTCCTTGAAAAGTTGTTCTCTTGAGCTGTGTTAGTGATATATAGGAAATCTTGGAGAGAAACTCACTGTTCAAACAGGGAAGTTTTTAAAGAAATAATAGGCAGTCTGTTTAAACATTAACATTGAGCCTTGGAGGACAGCTTTGGTCTTTCGTCTGGTTGATAAGGTAGCTGTGTGTTATTTTGTGGGAAAAAGATATAATTCTTAAAACCATTGCATCATCTACTTCGATTTCACATTACATTTCTTCTAGTAGTAACTCACTTGCTGTTAGTAACCACCGAGAGAGTGGCAGCATGTATAGAAGTAAGAGGTTAAGGATAAAATATTCTTGTTTAAACCACTTGTTATGAGTGGCTGCTGAAAACCAGGATGAATTGCCTTTCAGGAGACTGTGCCTACTCCATGACTGCGTGGATGGCCCCACATGCTTTATTTGCGTCACAGGATTTAAACTTGGCTGTTGGAGGCAGAATTATGAATTTCCTCATTAGTGGGTTTTTTTATGGCTTGCTCTGCTTGTACAAGACAAACATAATGAATTATATTTTCCATAATTTTAAAGATCTATAGGAAGAGTGTTGTCCTCTTTTATAACAAGGAGCTGAAGTTGGGTTTTTTTTGTCAGTTTTGACACAGATCACCTCATTTTTACTATTTATTCTAAAAAATCACCACTGCTGCTTTGTTAGGAGCCTTGTTCCCTCTGACTTCACTTTTATCAGAACACCATGTGATCTTGTTTTCTGGGTCCTTCCTCCAGCAATGGCAAATACCTGGTTTCTGGTGACAAATTCATTTTAAAAATAAGCTTTTTAACTTTTTGTTGACTCTAGCGTGCCTTTGCCAAGCATAGTTTCAGCGCTGTGGCTTCTGCGTGTTACTACAGCTTAGGCACTGCTGTGGTGCAGGGTCAGGGGAGGAGAAGTCTGGTTTCTGCCACCTACAACTCGTGTGGGTCTTGGTTTGCCCAGCTCCATCCGCACAGGAACCTGGATGAGGTGGCTGCAGCCTGAGAAGCACTAGGAGATGGGCCACTGAGCCTGGCCAGTGTGGGGACTCATCTGAGGCTCCAGCCAGCAAGAGGGTTCAAACTATGGGGTAGTTTGGTTTTGGTTTTTTTTTTTTTCTTCAGTGAATTCTAATGTCGCTGAATTTGAGCAGATTTTGATACGAGAAGACACTTGTGTGGCAGCAAGGTTGCATCTGCCGGAGTCCAACTCCTCCTGCAGCAGATGAGAGCAAAATCTTGTCAAGGGTTTTTTTTTCTCAGAACTGGCCTGTTTCGTCTAAAACCACCTAGAGGCAAATAAGTACATAAATACAAAGTCACTGAAGCATGGTGTCCATGTGAGAAGTACTGGGCCACCCCAGGGGGTCCCTCCTCCATGCAGCGCTTCAGCAAATCATCCTCCTGCCAGCCGGAGCCTGGCTGAAGGACACTTGGTATCACTGTTAAGGGAGACATAAGCACCACTTACTAAGTTTGCGCTTTCATAATTGATGTCAGTAAAACCTCAGACAGAATTTTGGAGTTTGCAGTTTGTGGATTTAGTTGTCATTGTGGAGTTGTTTGTTTTCTCTGGTGCACTTGGATGTGAATAATTTCTTCCAGTGTCACTCTTAGAAATTGTGAAGCAGTGGTGCCTTGCAGGATTGTGAACTGTCACATACAAGAAGTTTGATTTCCACCGTTTAAAAACATGCTTAGTGAGTAATAAATGGTGAGTTGGGGTTGAGAATGGATATACCAGACAGCATAGCACTGCTTGCCATCGCAGGGAGTAGCAGCAGGGAGAAAGTACCTGATCGCAGGGTTATGCCTTTTTGTTTATCAGTGGAAGATGGCAGATTGGAATAACCTTCCCTCTCTCCTTCAAGTCCCTGGCGTCCTTTCCCCCGGGGTTAATTCAGTTCTGGGTGCTGACTCAGCTGAGCTGAATTTTCTCCATCAGCGAATGCCAGGAGGAGCAGGAGCTGTGGCGGCTGGAGGAGGAGCCCTGCCCAGGGCAGAGTAGCAGACCCTGCTAGAGCTCCCAACAAAATGTCTTTGAAATATCTTTCAGAGGTTTGTTGCTATGCTTGGAGGGACAAGCAAACTGAAAAGTCTCTTGCAGACTAATGAACAAATCTGATTAAGGTTTGGCAGCCTTTCCTAATACTCCCTGTAACTAGGAAATCTTCCCAGGCAGTGCTGTGCTCTGTGTAGGAGGGAGCGCCCTCATCATTAAATGGTGAATGAAAGCAAATGTACTGATGAGCACACTGGGTCGTTACTCAAATTGAGGCAGCACAAAACAAAATTATCCTTCTGTAATCCCTTGAGCTTGTGTACAAGGTTGTGTACCCTGGTATATCAGAGGTGGAACCTGACCTGCGGTCCTCTGGCCCCTGAACTAGGAGAAGTTCCCTACCCAGCTCTCCTGGGCTGATGATGATGATGATGATGATGATGATGATGATTATTATTATTATTATTATCATTATTTATTATTATTATTATTATTATTATTTATTATAGATGTAAGTTGCTTAACCTGTATGTGTGCTATCTTACAGTGTAGCTCCATCAGCTTGGTGATGCTACATTTCTGGTTTACATTTTTTTTAAAAAATCCTATTTATTTTGTAGAACCTTAATGTACTCTCTGATAATTTTGTACGAAGTTACTCACTCCAGATTTCTTGTATAGTAGCCCATATTCGATTAAGTAGCAAGAAAGAACATGACATTCCTGTTGTCATTAGTTCAGAAGCATGGAAGGTGCTGGAGTTTAAATCCTGAAGCTTTGGAAGCTGAGGTTTTTTGAGGATTGGGCTCCCTGAGCAGCTGAGTTCATGTTTCTGCGTGGATGCCGTGATACCGTCATCAAGCAAGAGGTTTAATGTTGCTGCTGAATTAGCTGAAATAATAGTAACAGGCACTGTGTGAAAGGTAGCTTCCAACAGACAGAAAGTCACCTTGATGTCTGAGATATCTGAGACTGGTAGGATTCAAAATAAAGCCATCCCTAGGCGTGGGATCCTGGGAGCAGAGAGCAGTGAATGGACAGAAGGTGGTTGTTCAGAAACAGGAACCATTGACAACAATTGCTCTTTCTGTAGATAAAACTGACAAGTTAAATGAGGGAGAATATAAAGGCTTATTGAAATGCAGTGGAGAAAATTGGTGTAGAGGAGCCAATATAGATTAGCTACAAAAAACCAAGAAGTGGCTTTCTAGGTGAACATGAATTTTGCATTAAAAGCATGTCCAGTCTGTACATTTTGGTGCTTGTTTTTCTTCATGAGTCTTTTCTTGTATGCTCAGGATGCTAAACCCAGTTTAGTATGACTTGGAAGCTAAATGCATGGGGGGAAAAAAAGGCTTCTAAACTTGTCCTGGAGTCAGAAAAATAAATAACAACGACAAAACTATCCTGCTGTTGAGCATTGCTGGGGCAGGAGGAAAGCTTGATTTTTATTTTATTATGCTTGTTTCAACAGCGATGTTTGTGCCAGAATTGAACTGTCCTCTGAGATGCTCCTTTCAAGACTGACAAGCAGGAAAATGTGAACTATAAATAATAATTTTCAAAATGTGGAATATAACCTTTTTACTGTTGGAATTGTTAACGCTATTGTCTGGTGGACCCTTGTAACGCTGCAGCACGTGCTAATCTGTTGCCTAGTTATAAAAAGAAACACCCGACACAGATAACCCTTTCTTTTAATCTCCAGCTGACAAGGGAAAATGCATAAATTTGGAATGGGTTGTTTGCACCATATCCTTTGTAAAATTCAAATTTCACAGGAATCGCAGCGGAAGGTGGCTCACGGCAGCGCAACGTCGCTGAGAATTAGTGTTTTAAAAACTATTTCTAGGGAATAGAAATCCCCCAGATGTCTCTTGCACATCTTGTGGCAGTTCTGCTGTAGGACTTGTGAAGATTTAGGGAGAAAACTTGATGAAACTGCTACTAAATTAATGTTTTGTTATATGTTTGCTTTGGAGGGCAGTAGTTCTCCTGCTGGTGGCTTGGACAGCGCTTTCGAAATTGGCTTTTAAAAGGAGGCAAGGAAGTGGTTGTGGCTGCCCAGCTGCTGTTGGGAGGAGAGTGTGTCTGTTTGCTGTCCCTGCTCCCCGTAACAACCTTTGGTGACAATGACAAAAATGAACAATTGCAGTGACAAACTGGCAAGCCTCGTACCTGGATCTAAGCTTTGGGCCTGCGTGAAGAAGCACGACGCAGTGGTTCCCATGCTGTGAGAGTCGGGATGATCCCCATGTGTTAGGACAAGATCCCCATGTTCCTGCTTTCCCGTTAGTAGTCCAGCTTTCAGGAATCCTCCCTGCTCACAGAGAGCTGCAACACCTGGGTGTGGGCAGGAGAAAGGTCGAGAAGAAACAGCCATAACGATAGGGATAACTTGGCAACAGCACCCTACTTCACCATAAGGCATAGTGTAAAACCCGGAAGAGGTCAGAACTTCACCATTAATATTTCAACAATTTATTTTAATAACTTGAAAGATGAGAAGGTTTGTTATTTTAATTAAATCAGAGGTTTCCTTCATCTGCTGTCTGTCTTTTCCCCCTGGAATAATATGAGAGATTGGATGCTAATGGCATCTGGATGAACCTGTCCTGTTACAGGGAAAAATCTTTCTTATAGGTGTGCTGGTTTGGGGGAAATTTTCTAGAAATAGCCACCCTGTCAGGTCTATCTCCTCCTGCTACTGTGTTTAATAATAGTAAAATTAAAAAAGAAAAAATTATATGTTTAAAAAAAAGCTCAAACTTACAAAGCCTCCCTTCTTTTTTTTTTTTTCCTTTATTCTTTTTTTCTTTTTCCCCAGCAAAACCAGAAGAGACCAAACCAGCTGAAGCTGTGACAGGGAACGACATCACAACACCTCCCAGCAAAGAGCTTCCTCCCAGCCCTGAGAAGAAGACAAAGGTAGGTGTCATTTCATGTTCAGTGTCTTCGCCTCCATGGGTTTTATTTGCCAGCTTTTCTGCTTCTTAAGCTGTGGCAACAACACGAGTTCTGTTTTCTGAGCTGCCATTTGTGAAACATTTCACTAGAACAAAGACATCCAGTTATGAAGTTGAAAACAACTCAGCCTGTAGCAAATGTGACTGAAAGTGGATTTAATAAATGTGTGGTAAACCTGAATTTCAATTAATTCCCTGGTTGGTATCGGTGGTGTAGAAGGAGTAAACATGTATGGTAACACTTCTGCTAGTTGTTTACAACACATTTCTTTGCATTACCATTAGCATTCAGAGATCCTGCTCAGAATAGTCTCTTATTTTAGGGGCTGTTTATGAACCGTGAGAGATGTGCTTTTAGAAGATTGCAACATTCAGCAAAACCCAGCCCCAGCTTCACAGAGCAGCAGTGGGGCAGGGGGTTTTGGTCCCCTGGAGGGCAGCGGGCGCGTGACCCTCGGAGTTGATCAGATGAGGATTTAGAGCTTGCAATCCGTTGCGTGCCTGTCACTGGAAGGCAATGTCCTGTGTATTGCACGTAGGACGAGATGCCAGGAACACCCAATTACTAATCCCAGCTTTACCAGCGCTTCCTTCTGTTGCTTTAGATGTCTCTGGAATAAATCCCATTCGCTTTGATTTGAGTGGCAAAACCCCTGGGCTCCGAAGGCAGCCCTCTGCTGCTGCTTCATTTTGGTCTTTTTGTAATGCTCAGAAAACAGAAACCTAATTTTTTGTGTTGGTTTGTTTCATTTAAAATATCATTTTTATGTTCTTGCAGCTCAATGTTTCCGTTTACAATGCGCTATTTTTTTTGTTGTGTTTTTTTTTGTCTGTTTTTATACTGGATTTTGCTTTTTGAAAAAACATAAAGCCTGCCGCATCCACATCATCTACAAAGCCTGCAGCAACGAAAGCCAGGCCCCTGTCCGCTACCAGTCCCAAGCGGCCAGCCTCTGCCACTCCTGGCCCAAACAAAAAACCCACCAGCCCTACTGCAGGTCCTACTTCAGCCACTACTGCTAAACGCCCAGCCACCAGTACTATACGTCCCTCCACCTTAACTTCAAAAGAGACTAAACCAAAGGTAAGAAGCAATTTGCTTTTGTGTGGGAGCTCCAAGAACTTATTTACATGTTCAGCTGTCTTACCCAAGAGTCAAAACATAACTCCAGTGCTAATCATGGGAGGATAAGATCAGGAATGTGACTCACTGCGCTACGAGAGCTACACAGTCAGTATCAGCGTCCATTAACCCACTTAAGACATCAGGTCCCAGGCATTTCATTGTGAAAATTAATTTGAGAAAATTAAACTTGACTGTATTACCACAGTTTTCCTAGTGAACCATCATGAGGTGCACAAGATAATTCCTTATTTCCTTCCATCACTAAAGGAGGAGGGTTTTTTAAATATAGATACACTACAAACATAGGATAGCTCTCAAATCCAGACAGGAGCATGGGAAAACTGAATGGAGGGCTTCGATATTAATACTGAAGGGAAAAAAAAATCAGTTTGAACACTTCAGTATTCCCCTTTATGGTGTCTGGCCATTATACAAACTGTTTAGAGATAACTGATCATACACTTACATCCTCAGGGAATATTGGAGATGGATAATTCTCCAATACAAGAAGGCTTGTGGACAGTTCTTAGGGTTGCATCTTAAAGCTGGAGTAGGGTATCAACATGTAATGTTAAGAACAGGAAATGTCCCTTGAATCTTCCCCATGTTAACTTCTGAATAGTATCTAGTAGAAAAATTCAGATTTGAAAGGAAATGTTAAAATTTATCTCAGAAGCTTTCAGTGGATGTCTAAATGCTAACATTTCTACTATACATTTAAGCTTCAATGACTGCATTTGAATGTCTTGTAAAACTATCTAAAACTATCGAAAAGAGTAAGAAAGCACAGGTGTAAACCTGTACTTTTTTCTGTGAACCAGTGTCTTCAGTTTTGTTCAAGTTTTTGCATGCTTCTGTATCCCTTTTTGATGAAATTGAAATCTCTTCTCAATTGTTTCCATACATTAACTCAGTATTGTCATACTTAAGAGATCAGTCACTTTGCAAACAAGTGACTTACCAAGGACAGACATGAAGGTTTCCCAAGTGAGGGATGAACCACAGACTCTTTAATTCTTATGTCCACAGTGTTTTAATAAAAGCCTTCTTAGCTTAGGAAGCATTTCTGCTCATGAAGGACAGAAATCTCTCCCAGAAGTGTTGCTAGTGGACAGATGTTTTCCATTTTGCTCAGAAATCAAAGCCTCGTTCACACCTGTAAATGGCCTCCACGCATTAACGCTGAAACAGATCTGGGTGAATTCTAATACTCAGCAGGGTGTGTGCTCTGTGTCCTGCCCTGAATGTGGTTGGCCGCTTCTGCATGCCTTAATTTACTTCTTAATCTTTTGCATTATAGTGTTTCCGCAGTGCTTAGCCTGTGTGTTTCAGAATTTAAACAATTTGAATTTATTTCAGGCTTTTTGTTGGCAAACGCTTTGAAGAGCCTGTGAGTGAAATAGTGGCTTTAATACAGCCTGTTCGTTTTCCAGGTTGCAGATGCGAAGACCACAGAGAAGCGGACCTCACTTTCAAAGCCTCCATCATCTGCCACTCCTAGAACTACTCCCAGGAGCACCCCCACTACTCCAAGGACAACGGCGGCGGCGCCAGTCACGGCAGCTGCTGGTGCAAAAAATACTGCTACTTCTCCACCCAAGAGGCCAACATGTAAGTGTTCTCTTGTTTTTCTTCAGGAGATCTCTGGCCAGCTGCAGGTTTCTGTTTGAGTAGCGCCGTTGGGTCACCTATTCCAGTACGCTGACCACTTTTTCCTGTGTTTAGGTCATCCATCAGTTTATTAAAATTACTAAACAAGCTTGAGATCTTCAGGTTCAAAAGAAGGGGAAAACCCAAAAGCCTTAAAATGTAGCCATTTATGAGAAGCCTCAGGTGCTGTTAACCTGGACTTCTGAGAGGTGGAATCTGGCCTGCCTGTCAGTCAGGAGCTGACTTGAAGCTTAGTGATAGCTGAAATATTAACCCTTTTGATACAACACAAAGCAAGATCCAGTGCCAAGGCACAGAGACTTTTTTTTTTCCCTCTCCAGGGCTCCCTCAACTCTGCGTGCTTCAGGGTTAATGCAATTACTCAACATGCTTGATTTAAGAATAAAAGATGCCATTACCTCTGTATTTTGCTGTAGCAACAGTTAGAATAAAAACTAAAATTTAAAACTTGGGAAAAGCAAATCTTCAGAAGAGGACTTGAAGCACTCAGACTGAAAAACAAACAAGGTTGAACAGAAGTGGAGGTTTTTTGCTAGTGCAGGAAGAATTTGGAGCTGAAATCACATCAGCTTCATCAGAAAACTGGTCCCACTCCTGCTGTTACCAAAGAGGGAACTTCCCATGAGTTTAACACAGTCAGCATGAAACTTGAGCAGCATATTAGCATCTTTCAAGCACTGTTTTTGCTCATTTTAATGGAGCTTGAGTGATTTAACATCAGATAAAAATATAGTTAAACGTTCTCAAGTCTTTTCAAATGACTAGACCTCGTTGGCAGAATTTGCCAATAAACATGTAAAACTAATAATACATACAGGTTGCTTTGTTCTATGAGTCCCAAAGCATGAATTTGTAACCTCTCTTCCCCAAAAGTATAGCAATGTTTTAACTGTGTTGAAATATGTTAGGCTAGATGTACATTACATACATTATGCTGTTGGGGAAAATAGAACTAATAAAGTGTAGGGGAAGTGTTGCATTTTCCAAGAGCCACATATCTTGACTGATCCAGTGGACCTGATCCTTGTAAAATTCATTTTATACGGTCTTTTATGCAAACTGCAGCCCAGAAAGCTCAATACGTTTTAATGAGCTCAGTTAATTTCTCCTTCCAAAACTGAGACACAAAGAACAAAGTGTTTTCTGATGGCATTTGAAAAGAGATGGAGTCAACGATGCAGAGATGCGGGAAGGTTGTTCCAAGTGGTGAGATGCACAGAGGAGAAGGCTTCTGCACAGCAAGGCTGGTGGGACATTGCCAAAGCACAGTGAGAACTGGGTGGGCGAGGGAGAGATGAGGTCAGCTGGAGAAGCTCCATTAGGAGGGAAAGCTGCTTTGTCTGGGTCTGGAAATGCACAGAGGAGTTGCTGGTGGTGGAAGAAGGCAGCCCTGTTTTGGAAGAGAAGAAAGCAGGAATGTGACAGAGGATGAACAGAGCTGTGGGGCCTGAAGGGGACACTAACATTTCAGTCTGGGTAGAGCACGTGCACTGCAGCTAGATCCACAGGTGTGGGTGATGGAGGTCTGGATCTCTTCTGATCACAGTTGAGTTTCTCATGACATAGCACTGGGATGGATAATTGGCTTCTGGCTAAAGGTGGTATTTTAGAAGAACATCTGCTCTTGCTTTTCAGGTTCAAAAGGCAAGGACTCTCACTTCCTTGTGGTTTGCTCATTATTTAGTCGTTAGCACTGTTTTAAAATTGGTGTATAGTGGCTTGTTTGGAAATTAATATGGTTTTACTTTTTCAGGTATTAAATATTTGTCAGTCACTTTTGACGGAACAAGAGCCATGAGCTATGTGGTGCTTGATTTATATCTTTTTATTTTTTCCAGTTTTCCCCTTTCCCTCTAAAAATGACTCTTGTACAAGACCACCTCTCTATCTCTGAGATCAGAAGAAGGTCAAAGTCTTTGCCTGTCATTATAGACCATTTTCCCAGAAGCTTTATCATTCTCCAGGTTTTCAACGTCACCTAGTAAGAGCATAGACAAAGGAGTTGCAGCATTTGGCTCCCCACTGACAAAAGTAGAAATAACATCTCTATATGTTAAAGTAACACATTAGTCCTCTGGCCTTTTTATAAAATTAAGTCTGTTCTGTCCATACAGATTTCCCAATTAAAGATGTGGTCTCGAGCAATGAGATTAGGTTGGTTTGACAGGACTTTTTTTGAAGTATTAATTATATATCTATCCTTTAGGCCTTATTGAATTATCCAAATGTGTTCCATCTCATTAGCTAGTATCCGTGGTGTTTAATTGAATGCTTTTAGCAAAGTCAGGATGGAGTCATCCAGACTAACTTGGCCTAGAGTGATCTGCCTCTTTTGCTTGGTCTTTTCTGTATTGGTATTCCATAAAGTACCCTGCCAGCTACTTGAGTTTATCTAAAAATCTAAGACTGTTAATGGAAATTATCAGAAATTATCAGAAGATGGGAGTTTTTGTAATTTCTAATTTAGATTTTTTTCAATTTATTGTTTAACGTTGCCTTCCTTTGGCTACTGAAATGAAGCAGCATTTAGCCAAAAATATCTGTCATTGGTAGTAAAAAAGCTAGAATTTCATTATCAAAGAGCTCTTTAAAATAAGGTTCTGTTTATATTTTTCAGTCTGTGATTTTTTTTTTTTTCCTTGATCAACTTTGTGTATGTTTTGTTCTGCTTTGAGAAATACAGATGCGTTCCTGGTTTAGACTGTCCTCTATGTGGAATGTGATCTGTGGCATGTAATCAGGTCATGATCACTGGTGTTCGCCCAAAGGCTTCATTCAGTTTAGTGATTGATTTTTGGTTTTACACAATTACAGTACGGATCAAAATTTGTGCAATAACTCCTGTGCAAGAAAATTGGCATTGGTTAGAACAGATCTAACAATAATGCGGAGGTTATAGATGGACAAATGTGGGTTTGCTTTTGATATTTAGTAAAGAGAAGAGCTTTGGGTTGTGGTGGTTCTTTTGTTGGGGTGGTGTTTTTTTTTTTTTTTAGAAATTAAATTGGGACAGGATTAAAATAATGTCAGTGAGTGCTGTCAGATACAGGAAGTTATTTTAAGGAAAAACAAAATGCAGACCATACCCCAGGTGTGTTACTGTGACTGTGACTTGATCCTTTTGCTGGAAACTACGAATGAGTTGTGCTGTTTCCCCCTCAGCCAGGTGTTTGAGCAGAGCAGTTAATTCTTGAGATGCTTTCTTTCAAGCAGCATGTTATAAATGGGAACTGTGGGCAGAGAGGACCAGCACTATGCGTGCGAGTTGCTGCGGAGAGCCCCTGCACTCCAGGGAAGCTGTGCTGGGATCCCAGCCTTCTCATCTATGCAGACTGCCTGCTGCTCTGAAATACTGATGGCTCTGTTTTGTGTTGGGCAGCTATCAAGACTGATGCAAAGCCTGCAGATGCCAAGAAGACCTCTGCGAAGTCACCATCAGGTAACTTTGTTTCATTTCCATCTAAATCGAAGCCTCCTTGTTTCGGGGCTGTGTTTATCAGGCAGGTCACCGTACAGCTTTAGGACTCGGAAGAAGTTTGTATAAATGGCCTCTGACCCATCTTTTTTCCCCACATTCCCTCCAACTCTCGCTGCGATCACTGTAGCAGACTTGAGCCGCCCTAAGAGTGCTACTGGAAACGCAGTAAAAAGCAGTGCCACCACTCCTTCTACCACCGCCTCCAGTGCACCTACTTTACCTGGAGTAACCACCAGTCGTCCCAAACCCAAGCCTGCTGCAACCAAACCCACCACAACCCCAACCGCAACGGCAGACGCTAAAAAAACAACTGCTAAGGCTCCGACTAAACCCAGCACCGTTTCCAAGCCGCCTCGTCCCACCAGCAGCGTTTCTGCTCCAGATCTGAAAAATGTACGTTCTAAAATTGGATCAACAGATAATATTAAACATCAGCCTGGTGGAGGAAAGGTAAGTTTCTTCAAACTTGGTAACAAGATGCACTTTGGAACAGTAACTCTTAAGCATTAGGGGTGCTCTTTGCTAATTTTGGTGGCTGTATCCTCACTGCTCTTCTCATTTATGCTCTGCAGAGCTCCTCTTTGGGTTCTTGATTTATGCACAAGGCTTTAACAGTGATGGTAGCGTACAGAAGGAATCCCCTATAAGACCCTTCATGGTGTTACATACAGGAATTCAAAACTCTGGTTCTGTTGTTTCTATCGTACGTCCCGACGTAGAAACTAGTTGGTATTGAAAGGTCAAAACATTGTCTGCATTCCAAAACTTTGCCTTTGAATAGAGGAATCGAGTCTATTCAGTGGTACAGAAGGTGGAATAATGCACTGTGATGCAGGAAATCTGGATTCAGGAGCAAGTTCCACAGCACCTTTCTCAGGTCTGGGAATGGGGACTCTGTTCAACTTGTCAGACCTAAAGCTAAAACGAAGTGGGTCTGCGTACGCTGCTCTCTGGATAACCTGTGGTGGCCTCAGGAAAAGAACAGGGTGTGTTGAATGAGCTGTAGGGGAAAGCGTGTACATAGATGTAACTTGAGGCTCTCAGTCAGTCACAGCCTTAAATTACACTTTCACTGTGAATATCTGCCATGTAAATAACAAAGATTTAGGGATATACCTGTAGCCCTCTTCGGAGGGCTTAAATAATTTAGTGGATATGCACAATCATAAAACCTTTATTGGGTATTGTCTAACAGATACACACATCTTGGCCTGACTGAATGTGTTAGCAGCTTGTCCGTAGTCAGAGGGCTTTTAATTTCCACAGAGTGGAACAGATTTGCCCACTTATCTTTGCTGCAGGTCTGCAGTAATGAATAACTCAGCATACAACTTTAATCTGATGCCAAGAGAGCACCTTTCATGCTGGGAGCCTTAATCTCCTCTCAGGCACATTAAAGTCAAGGGCGTTCTTGGGCTTTGGTGGTGTATGTCACAGACAGCATCGATATAATATGGATTTATTCTTCAGAGTTAATCGTATCTCAGCTGTACAGTATCACAGGACAGTCCTCAGAGCTTTGAGGTCTAGAGGACACAAACTCCCACTCCCCAAAACAGAGTTTCTGAAAATCACAAGCCAAGTGTGCTGAAAAACTCTGGAGCAAGCAGGAGGGTGACCCTTTCATATACCATATATTGTAGCTTGAAATCAAATAGTAGTTCAGAAAACCTGCCATCTGGTCAGAAAGAACATGTCAGATTGTTCTGTTACTCTGAACTGTGCTAGGGTTCTGAGGATTGCAGAGCTTTTCAGCTTACAGGGTTATTGTGTCAGTTGAAGGGAATTTTTTTTTTTTACACTTACTTGTACTGTCCTTTATTTTCTAAATCTGAACAATTGTACTTTTAAGTAAGTTGTCCTTTTTTTGGTCTTACTTATGTTGAGATGTTTTTAGAATTTGAGAATGCCATAGGAGCAATGGTTGTTTTTGGTTGGTTTTTTTTGTTTACTGTTCTGTTGCTGGTAGATCAGTGAAATACAGGATTTATGCTGACAACCCCCAAAAAAATGCAGGTTCTGCTGTACTTACCTGGATTAGCAGATGAAAGGATTTTTCTCATGTAGTTGCTGAGTTTTTCTAAAACCTGTAAATTTTCCTTCAGTTTTCTACTTAGCTGGATTAGCTAGGTCTACCTGCATTTGCTTCATTAAAAACTAAATCAGCTGCTGATCTCAAAGCCCGAGTCAAACCAGTGTGGGGGTGAGAAGTCAGAGGTGAAAGCACAGTGTATCTATATCCAGCAGAGCTTAAATGCAAAGAAAATCAGCCGGTGGGTGTGTTTGCCTCTTAAGATCTGTATAATGTCCTCCACAAGAAGGAGGTGGTCCTGCGCTGCCATTGGGTTACAAAGAGAGTGGGTTTAATTTCTTGGTGGAGTATAATGTGCTGGGGTCACTTGGAGACCTGTCAGCATGGCCTTTGGGGAAATGATGAGACTCCAGTGAAGGGCACCTGTGAGTTTTTTGAGAAATGGAGAACTTAATTCTTGCTTGATGACCCTAGGGTGCCTGTTTCATCCTGTATCTGATGTGGCTTCCCCTCCACCCCCTTAGTTTTATCATTCCCGGGCACGGGATTATATTTTGCCTGAGGATTACAGCATGTAAGAATTTCTCCTGAGTTGTCTGCTCCACTAAGTTTATCTGGGTAGCTTGTATTCACGTACTGTGCTGCCCACACTTTTGCTTTTGCTGGTTGAAATCATCTATTTGTCTCCATCTAGGGGAAAATAGAGAAAAAGCCAGAATCAGCCGCTGCTGCACGAAAGTCTGAACCCAATGCAGTCTCTAAAATGGCTCCTACTAAAACAACCGTATCAAAAGAGGGTGCCCCCAAACAGCTCAATGGGAAAGTGAGTTTATTTCAGACTTTTCTCTGTGGGAGATGAAGGAAAACATTTCCATTTTGAATCACTTTCCCTTCTCTTCAACTCTTCTGCTTTCTTCTGTCAGTGTCACTATTCCTTGCACAGATACTCTTCCGATTCTTTCTTGTAAACCTTGAGGTGTTCCCAGTTAAACATGGTCAGGGATTGCTCTCAGAGGTATCTTTTCCATGCCTTCTGCAAATATAAATGTCAGAGCAGAGTCCTCCATGTTCATTTTTAGGTAGGTAGGCTTAACTTTGAGTCAGAGGTTTCCCTTAAGACCAGTTCTTCATACACAGCACTAGTTTGTAACTAGGAAGAAAAGTTTAGGTCAGTGCTGCTTGTTTTAAGATTGCGGTAGTAAAGACTTAATATCTTCTCTGCAGTATTCCCGACCCAGCTGGACCAAAGCTCTCTAACTGCATGCGTTAGGTGGTCACCATTTGCCTGAAGCTGTGGGGACGTGGTATTTCAGCAGGAGTGAATGGGGAGCAAGGCGGGAGCGCCTGCAAGCGCTGGTTTAATTCAGATATTATCAGGCAGAGCCTGTTAATGAATGGGTGGGAAGTCAGTAACCATGGCATGAGGACGTTTACAGAGCTGCTGTTGCACTGAATCCAGCCTTTCTGAACTGGCTAAGGAGTTTTTGGGAACCTGCTCGAGTGAGATTGTTCTGGTGATTCCTTTTGTGCTTCAGATTTATCGCCTCTTTCTAGAAAGCAGCGTCCAGCTTCTGCCACCTTTTGTGCTGTGTTAAATAACTCCCAGACTAAACACGTGTCGTAACTAACCTTTGTGAACACGGGCCTGTTACTCTAACTCGGTTACTACCTTTGTGAGTAAAAGCTCACTTAGCATATTCCTTTTGTATTTTGAAAAAGTCACGAGTCATTCTGGTTTAAATGAGAAACAATGAACGTTAAGACTCATCTGATAAAATTTAACTGAAGGTTTGACAGCCTTCATCAGAAGAATTGTTTCTCAGACCGGGCTTTACTGCCCAGAGGTTTTGGATGACCCAGGACTGGAGCCAGTCCAGGCAAATGGAAATAAAGTGCAGACACTGGGCAGCTGGTGGCATTGCTGGGAGTGCTGGCCCTGTGGCTCCAGTCCGTGGAGGCAGGAGGCAGCCAGGCTGTCTGCCCCTGCTCTGGGGAAGCTGTGGGGGGACATGAAGAGCCCCAGCCCCTCTGGCAGGCAGGTGCCCTCCCGGTGATGCTGACCTGTAGAGTAGATGCAGAAGCAGTCTTCATGGTAGTGCTTACGCTCTCGCACTAACACTGTCTGTGCAGCCTCTCGTTTCGTTCACTTTTTTTTCTCACTCTCCTCCTCAGTTGCTTTCACACCTAATACTAAAAGTTGGATTGAGTTTAACACAACTCCTTGTTTATCCACCATGTTAGAGCAGCCACTCCAGCCTGCCGTATGACAACTCTAACCAGTCCTCTTCCCTTGTGTTGTTTTCCATTCTGTAACATTCCAGGTCCAGATAGTCTCCAAAAAAGCGAACTACAGCCATGTTCAGTCCAAGTGTGGTTCCAAGGACAATATTAAGCATGTCCCTGGAGGTGGGAATGTAAGTATGGGCTCTGGGCAAGCTGTCTTTCTACTAACTCCCTTCTCTTGTACTATGTTTTTATATGTCAGCCTTCAGAATGCTCTGTTTCAGGCAGAAGCGTGTGGCAGAGTTTCAGGGCTTCTGTAAATAATATAGGGTGGAGAATTTTTTTTTTTTCCCTCCCCCATGGGATGCTAGGTTGAATGCGTGTCTTGTTTCATTGTACTACAAATACACCTGACCTGTTTCTCACATGGTTTCCGTGGTGTTCATGACCAAAGGTAGGATGTGCATGTGGTTGACCCCAGGAGTTAGCTCACTGTGCATTCCCTCAGCAGTCAGTGGAGGCACCTCATCCGCCTTCTGCCCTGTTTCAGATGTCTGGTTTTACAGATGAAATGAATTGTGGCCTAGAAGTGCCCGATACTCTTGACTGGCTAATAGAGCATTCCTGAGTCAGATGAATTTCACTTCTTGTTTCACAAGACTTCGAAGAAGGAGGAGGAAAAGACTCTGGGATTTAATCTTGAGCTGCAATTAATTTCTTAATTTAAAGGCTGCTGATATCTCTGGCAGCAGAGTTGAGTGTGTTAAAATAGAAGGCTAAGCTTGTAATAATGCCTGTGTGCTGAGTTTGGAGTATTATAACCTGGATGTCTGGCAGAAAAAGTTAACTAGCTACTGAAGCTTTTAGAAAACATGACTATAGTTTGGCAGGCTTGTTTCCTTGTGGGCAGATCCATGCTACTTTAACAAATATATGCTAGGCTGTTTGTCCTAGGGATAGTTTGCAGAAATACAGAGATGGGATGGTTTCAAAAAGACACTGAAGTACTTAAGCCCAGGAAGGTTTTATCCGTTGGTGTTTAACTGTGCCAGGTTCCTGAGGAATGACGTCCCGCTGTCACATCTTGTGACACTCCCTGTGTACCCAGAGCCTGAGAGCCAGCATCAGTGAAACTCCCTGGAAATACTTAATTTCTGGGGCCAGATTGTTGCTCTACAGTCAGTGCATTCTGTCTCCTGTCTGGTTCAGGGGATACAAGTAGGACCTGACTGTGGTGCAAACTGCCGTGACCGCTTTTCCTAGGAAATACACGTGCATTTGTCTAACTGGCTCAACCTTCACTCTACATGACTAATTCTTCCTTAAATCTTTGCAAGAGACAATGAAATCTGAGTTGTTCACAAGCCTGTTCCCTACAGGTTTGTTGCCAGGATGGTCAGTGTTGAAGTCACACGTGCGGCGTTCGCTTAACTAAGTTCAGATTCCCATTTAGAGCCCCGGGACACACATCTCTGCTGACCTCTTTGCCTTCTAGTTTGCACATTCTCACTTGATATTTTTGCGACTTACCCCGTCTTTATAGGAGCACACACGTGTGTGTATGGAGCTTCCCATAGAAATCCTCAGACAGGAGAATCCTCTGCGCCACAGAGAGAAAAACTGATGTTGAGACCATCATGTCGATTAGGTGCCCTCGTAATATTTTTTTAGCTGTGCACATTTCTGTTCCTCCTGTGTATTTCATCTGGGTTTGTCACCCAGGTTTGGAACAGACTGTTTATCATCATCAGTGTTTTGTGGCAGAAGTCCCTGTGGCTGTGCTGTGAGAGAGCAGCTGTTGTAAGTTAACTCTTCCCGCACTCAAAGGAGAAGAATTTCACGAGCCACTTGGATTTTGCCACTCTTACCTTGGATAGACTTTTAGTGGACAAATCTCATGCCTACTTTTTTTTTTTTTTTTTTTTTTTTTTTTTTTTTTTTAATTAGAGGCTAACAGAAATGTCATTTAAGTGTGGGAGGTATTTTTCTTGATTAACTACATTAGTCAACTATTCTTTCTTCTTTTTAATCACCAAACCTGTCCTTTCCTCTGTACTGTCTTGTCCTAGGGACATTCGCAATTCTAGGGGACCAGTGTGTGCCTGCATTCTTTTTCCTCCTCTTCCAAACTCTCCTTTTACCACTGCAGTTTTCCTCCTTGTTCAACTACTTAAACTTTTTGCTTTGAGAATAGTGATGCATATTTCTGGGTTCCAGATGGCCCCGAAGCAGCTTCAGGCAGCTGTTCCCAGCCATCCAACACCCCTAGACCCAGCACCGGCAGTACCAGTGTGAGCAAACGAGACACAGTGGCAGGTCTGGGTTTCTATAAAAGTGTTTCCTTTTCTTCATTTCTGTATCTGCTCGCTCCCTTTGGAGCACTGTAATATTAGTGTCTTCTTCCAAGATGTTTTCTTGTTCAATTAATGATGATGATCACTTCTGATAGAAGATTACTCGATGTTTAATTCCTGAACTGCACTGCTGATGGGGAAGTCTGGGAAGTCTGTGGTTCTAGTCTGTGGCTTCAGTGAAATCTTTTAGGAATCCTGTGGACAAGAGCTGTGGTTAGTAGCAAATTATGATTCAGCTTTAGGGTTGCTCTGGCAGAAGTGATGGACATCCTACCTAAGTAAAGGGGTTCCTACCTGGTACACTCTGTCTGATACCCTTTTTCCCTTCTATACACGGAGATAATTTCTTCTCCCCTCCAAGAAGACATGTTCAAAAGCAGTAGATACTGTTCCTACCCACCTTATATTTGCCAGAAATATCTTGACACAAACATAGTTAGCTTTCCTGAGTGAAAGCTTTTGTTGTGCTTTAGTATTTTCCCCATCTCTTTTTAAAGAAAGCAGCAGTAAAGAGGTAGGTTTTACAAAGTGCTGGTAATGTACATGCTGGTGAAGATTTAACAAGGTGATTTGGAATGTACATGTGTTTCTCTACCCTTTGGCTTAACCTCTTTGGATGAATTGGGAAATGGTCAGAGATAGAAAATCTTAAGAATAAATGAGAATCATGTTTTCCGTCTGACCCTCTGTATCAAACTTTCAGATCTAAAGTTTACTTCTGGCACCAGAGGCTGAGCATTTGGCTCTGTGAATGCAATGTGTTTCCCATTGCAAACTCAGACCAGCTAATGTTAGAAATCTTACAAGAAATGCACTTCCATCTAGGTATAACTGTTTGGATCCCCAGGTGAAACCATGAGGAGTCGTAATGGGGTATGTCTAGCCTAGCTGATAGCAAACATTAATTTAAAATGCATTCTGTGAAATAAATTCAGTTTTATTCCAGTTCCAAGCAAGCAAGCACCCATTATAAAAGCTGTGCTGACTTTATTAGCAACCCCCAAGAAAATCAAATCCAGTAGCCGTGATCTCACCTTTTCAGAGTGTCTGGTGTCACTGAGTCAGGGTACATGAACGTGGAACAACATAGCAGGAGGCCAGACTCTGCTGTTCTAATTGTGAGCCAACGAGGCATCAGGGCTTTGACTCATCCCCCTTCACAAGTAGTAGGAGGATTCAGGCTTCCTGAGAAAGATGGATTGCAAATTATGATCATTCTCAATAAGCTTCTAGAGTAGCTGGTAGGTGAATGAATTCTTGTCATGGTCAAAAAGATTTTAATTTTCTCTGTGAGGTGATCAATAGCAGAACTTTCTGTGCATGTAGGTGTCAGCTGGTGGTTGCTGACACAATTGGGAGAGGCGATCCTCTTAACATTACTACCAAAACCCCCCAGATTTTTCCCATGGAAAGTGATAATGTCAGCTTAGTAGGGGTTTAGACCAGATGACCACCTTCTTTTCGGTATGAATTTTCCTATGTTTGTATGAAATGAGATATCTCCAAGTCACTAGACAAGAAGTTCATTCTGGAATAGAGGAATTGTTCCTCAACCTGGAGATGCAGGAGGAATTTTAAACATGTCAGAAATGGGGCTTTGTACAATGGTCCAGGCCTCAGAGATGAAAACTTTTTTTGAGCAAAAAGACATAAAACCTGGGATGTTTTGACTCCACCTTTGTCCAACCCTGGAGGAGACACTTCCCAAATTGAGACTGATGTCCACAAACGTCATGCTACAACATTTGGCTCATTGGCTTGGAAGAAGGTCATTTCCTGAGTCACGAATACCTCACGATTTTGTGACTGCGTCACTGAATGTTTTTTCAGTTATGATTTTGTTATGTCATTGGTAGAATGAGGTTAAAGGAAATAATAGTGGGGAGTAGCTTCCCCACTCCCAGTGTACTGTCTTTGAGAAGGACAGCTTCTTCAAACGGTTCATCTGGGCATGATGATCCTCCCTGGTGTCCTACTCTCAGCAGGGAGGAAGGACTGCTGCGAGGAGGCTGCACACAAAGCCTGACAGTTAAGCACGGGGCAGTCTGCACGTGGGTGGTAGAAAAAGTTGGAGCTGGTGGCATGTCTGTGGCCCTACAGCGAGAGGGTAGCCGAGTAGAACTGAGGTGCCATCTGTCCTGGTGACTGTCTGGAGCAGCCCATGTCTTCAGAGGCAGAGCCAGCGTTGGGCAGAGACAGTCTGGGGAACGTGGCAAGGGAATCCCCTTTCTGTGGTCCCTCTCCCAACGGCTTTTGTAGTCCGTGGATGTGCCATGAACTCAAGCCTCCTGTTTCTGGTTACTGTCCGTCTGTAAGTTTTATCTGGTCTCAGTTTCTGTCTGCTCACATGAACCACTTCTGGCTGGTGCAGGCCTTTAAATAACACTGAGGCATTTGGCACACAGTGGCTGGGAAATCAATATGAAAATATAATACGGTGGAAAAGGGGGTGCAAGTTAATTAAGTGTGGCCTGATGCTTGAGATGGCCCACTGGCCTCCAGATTCACAGGAAATGTTTCTCTGCATTGAGTTGTTTGGTTTTGTCTCTTTAGGTGCAGATCCAGAACAAGAAAGTTGACCTCTCCAAAGTGTCCTCGAAGTGTGGCTCTAAAGCAAATATCAAGCATAAGCCAGGTAGAAATTTTACCATTTCCTCGTGATTTGTCTGTAGATATTGCATGTTGCTTAAATATAGTCCTGGATTGCAACTGAAATAGTTTAAGGAGTTTGCTGTGTTCAGGGAGTTTTTCTAGAAGTACTGCCTAGCCTGTTCCTCAATTCCTGGTGGTTTCATGAGTGGAGAAGGGGATTAGGAGAGGTGGGATTTCATCTTGCCTGTGAAGATAATCTAGTGCTTTGACTGAGTTCTCTTTTTAACTCCCCGTTTGAAGAAGAAAAATTTGAAAAAAAAAAAAAAAAAAAAAAGGAGTGGATACTTGCCATGACCATTCCAGGAGTCTGGCAACTTCATCCATGCTCCCAGTGGGTGCTGGGGCTCTTTGGACATGTATGTCCTCTGGAAGGATAAAGTAACTTCCCTCCAGTGCTTCAAAGCAGATACAAGGGTCTTTTTAGCCTTCAGTTCAGTGGCAGCTCCTGTCTTATATAAAATGCCTTTGGCCCTTTAATCCTGTATTATGGGATGAGTGTGCAGGAATTACTTGCTCCCTGCTGAGAACACTTTGTGTTCATTACTTGGTGTGAATTCCTGCAAAACTCAGGTTCCCTAACCAAGCAGTGACCAGTCCGTGGCTCAGCTGGAGTGTAGGCAAGGCTCAAGTTCAAGGTCCTGTGGCTGCAGGCAGGTGGTTTGAACTACAGCGTCCTAAAGTATAACCAGTTCACTGACTTTTACTGGTTTCTCTATATCTGGGGACAGTTACCTGCACAGGAAAACTCCTGACAGTCAAACATCTGTGCACCAGGGACAACATTCACCCACCAAAGTTGAAAAGAAATCCTACAAGCTTGTCTTTGTCAGCTCGTGGGAGTTCCCTGCACCCTTCCTGCCAGGCTGTTAGGCTTAAAGTTGTTCAGCCTTACACACCGAGCACCATGGTTCGATGCCTCCAAACAGCTTTGAGAATGTGGTGCCACAAACATGACCTCTGCTTATTCAGTGCTCTGTAATAACACGCTGTGCGTGACAATAACTGCTCCTGTCCAGGGCAGATTAAAGCAGAATAATCCATCCATCTGTTGTCAGATGTTTTAACTGATTCTGTTAGACCAAATCAGTTTGGCTTCCATCACTGGCCGTGCCGAGCTTCCCAAGTGCCAAGGACTGAGTATTTAGTGATGCCACTGGGAAGCAAAGTTGTGCTTAGCAATACTTAAGTAGGGTTTTTTTGATAAACCTCCTGGCATATGGACTGCATGTATAGTCTTATATATTAATGGAAACTGCAGTATTCTAAATCTAGGAAGATCTTGCTGGAAATGTGCTGGAAATGTGTTTGGGTTGACCCAGCGCAGAGGGATCTGGTGGAGTTGGGAATGGTCAGGGTGAGGTTCATGGTTGGGCTGGAGGATCTATAAGCTCTTTTCCAACCCAGATAATTTTGTGATTCTGTTTTTTCTGACCTTCAGGTTCTCCTGAACCTGATGTCTATCCAGTCCCTGTGGTTGGCTTCTCCCTGCCTGCACGCCCATGGCACGTGGGTCTATGTGTCAGGGAGGGAGCTGTAACAGCTGTCAGGGATGGAGTAGGAGTGGGAACAGATAAGCAGAACATGTGCCGGCACAAATCAGGCAGATGGGCTGAGCTGGCAGAGGCCTTGGCAGGGGACATACAGATGGGAGTGGGCAGCTGGTATCGGCCACTGGAAGCTCACCAGCGGGATCACACCTCGACTGGAGGAGGAAAGGTTCACAAGGAGATCTAGTGAGGCAGGTGGTGTGAGGAGATCTTCCAGCCTGTTCGTGGTCTTGCAGTGTTGCTTGGCCTGCACTGGTGGAAATCACCAACTTTGATCTGGCCAGTTTGTCAACTGAACCTTAACTGGAGAGAGACTGGGACACGAAATGTGTGACTTGGTCCTGTCCCTCCTCTGAAGTACTTGGGGTCCCCTGTGGCTCCTCATTGGGGCTTGGGAAGGGGACGACATGTCTCAGTTGGGGCTGTTCTGGAGGTATTAATAGAATCCAGAAGCATCTGGGTTGGAAAAGCCCTTGAAGCTCCTCCAGCCCAACCATGAACTTCACCCTGACCGTTCCCAACTCCACCAGACCCCTCAGCGCTGGGTCAGCCCGACTCTTCAACCCCTCCAGGGATGGGGACTCCCCCCCTGCCCTGGGCAGCCCATTCCAACGCCCAACAGCCCCTTCTGCAAAGAAATCCTTCCTCAGAGCCAGTCTAAACTCACTCGTACATGATCTTATTCTAGGGGGAGGAGATGTCAAAATCGAGAACCAGAAGCTGAACTTCAAGGAGAAGGCCCAAGCCAAAGTGGGTTCTCTGGACAACGTGGGACACTTGCCAGCAGGAGGCACCGTGAAGGTGGGTGCAGCAAGCTCTGGCACATCGGGGTAGGGTTTTGGTTTGGTTCTTGCCCTCGTCCTGCTGTTGATGTAGCGCAGCCTCTCCACCCCCAGCCATTTGTGGCGCTCTACGTGTTTCTGTGGCCTCAGTTGTGATCCCCAGGAGTAAGTATGAGTTGAAGAGGAGAGCGCTGTGAACTGCCTGCCTGAATGGCTCCCTGCTGGGCATTACTTTTTTTCAAATTTTATTTTTATCCCTGGATAGAGCTGGTGAGATCAAAGCAGTGTGTGTGTGCAGGAAGATGGCACCTTGCAGCCCTCAGGAGCACTTTTCAGCCTGTAACCTGTAGTGCAGCCCAGCCCAGAGGCCCTTTGTTTGACAATAAGAAAAGATTGTTGCACTTTCGTTGCTGTGTTTCAGCCCTTCCCCCCAGGAGAAGAGAAAATGCCCCCAGCCTCGATGCAGGTCTCCTTCACCTGTTCTTAGGGGAGGGCCGTTACCCCCTCATGATGGATGTTTGGGCTTGACCCATGGAGCCACATGAGAGCAGTGCTGGGGGTCAGTAGTGCTGGGGCTTTTTTGTGACATTCTGAATTGGCTGGTAGCTCTGGAAGAGGAGAAAACACTCCTGTGCTCTGGCATCAGAACTGCTAAAACCTGACCTAGTCTTTGCTGCCAGCAGGACAGACAGAGGGAAGAGAAGAAACCTAAACCCCGAGGTCCCGCGGTTGTCCCAGCGTTGTTTTGTTTGAGCACTTTTGTGCTGGGGAAGGTTTTAGAGTTCAGGCGGCTTGAGCTTTTGTGTTAAATGCCGTGTGAATCTGAAAGAAATAATCCCTGTGCTAAAGAGCAGATCATGCGGCAGAATTCCCAAGTGTATTTAGTTTGTGCTTAATCATCCCCATTAAAACAAGGCAAGGGGTGACTGCCAGAATATTTTCTGGGGAGACATCAGGCCAATCTCCAGACCTTTATGTAATAAACTCCAGCCTGGCAAAAGAGGGCCTGCAGCAGGCCCTGCAGCATTGGTGGTGTCCCAAGGTCTTCCAAGCCACCCTGCAGGCTCCCACCAGAGTATCAGTCTCTCCTCTAACAGCAGGAAGACTTGGCTCTTCTCCCGGGCTTGTAGAGGTTGGGGACCCCAGGTGGGATCACCGGGCTGAGGTAGGAGAGGCCAGGACATGGGATGTTCTCTAAAGACCACACTCCCAGTGCTCAGTGCAGCACCAAGTGAAGAAGATGAGGTGATTTGTGCAAACGTGGCCTTCCCCTTTTGGCACTCACTGTGTTTGGCTCTGGCATAGAAACCTGTCCCCAGTTAACTGAGGCTGCTTCTCTGTGACGCACCCAAAGCCCATGCTTGCTTGTGACCCCGCAGCACTCTGCTTGAGTCCCTTTGCCTCGACCATCCTCCCTCACTGCGGGGGGGTGCTGCAGGCCCTGGTTTGTGAGAGTGTGCTGATCTCCAGCCCCCACAGTCAGGGATGTGGCCCCGGCGCTCGGACGAGCTGGCAGGGAGCAATGTGGGGCCTGAAGCAGCACCGTGAGAGGCTGGAAAGCTGGTCAGGACAGCGGCTTCGCGGGGAGCAGAGGGGCTGCTTGCTGCTTCCCAACCACCCCCCTTCTACGTCCCCGCGTGTGTCTCGGCAGCTGGGGAGGGCGGAGGGGGCTCCGGGAACCCGCACTTCACCCCCAACCCCTCACCCCCATCTTCTATTGACTCGTCCCTGTCGTCCTCCCCACCCCGTTGTCTCATTGTAGGCTGAGGGCAGCGCGGAGCCAGGGCAGCTCCCGCCAGCCCCTCAGAACGGAGAGGTGACAGCGGCCCAGGCAGGCAGTGAGATGCGGGAGAATGGCGTAGGGCCAGCAGTGCCCACTGCCCTGAGCGGTGGTGACCAAAGGGAAATTCAGAGCTTCGAGACTCAGATACAAGAAACAAGTAAGTGCCTGCGCCTTCTCTCTACGCACTCTGCCGGGTGGGGTGGGGAGAGCACGGCAGCAGGGCAGAGCAGCCGCCCCTGGGCACCCGTCACGCCGCTGTCATCTGAAAACTGTCTGTATCGATGTCTGTAGGGTGTCTGTTGCCTTTGTTTAATTCAGAAAATTGCCTTTTATTTTCCAGGCATCTAATGATGACATTATGGTATCGTCTTCCATCCCCCCTCTCTCCTCCTCTTTCCTCCTCCTCCTGCCCTTCCCCTTCTCACCTGCCCTTGTGTCGCTGCAGATTGAATCTCACAAGCTGACGTTCCGTGAGAAGGCCAAGGCTCGGACAGACCACGGAGCGGAAATCGTCGTCTCCAAACCCCCCAACCTCCCCAGCAGCACTTCCCCCTGGCGTAGCACATCCGTCAGCGAGAGCCTGGGCTCAGCCGCCTCCTTGTCACCGCTGCAACAGCCAGCTCCCCTTGCAGCCCATCCC